GAGACGGTTCTATGGATGGTCATGTTACTTCACTTATAGATTTAAATTTATCCACATTTATTATTTTTCGACAACCTCACAATCTTCCGGAAAGATTTAACCGATCAATTAGCCATATCCACCACAAAATAGTTGGTGAACTATTTCGTTATTTCGAAGAAAACATCTGCTCCTTGCGATTCCGCTGTAGATCAAGAATCGTAACCTCACGTTGCACTGTATCTCTCACTGATGAGGAATATAAAACCGCTTTTATTTGCCACAATATCGCTCATGCAAGAGCATTGTACTACTAATGCATACTTGATCTCCCAAATATGGACGCAGCTTCTCACCAGACGTTAAATATATCTATTGTAGCAGAGGTGACTCGCCACTGAATAAAGTCACAGCCAATAAGCTCACACTGACAAGCTGACCATGACTATATACTACCATGATGGATACGCCCCGACACTTTCTTATCTGTACATTTCGTCGCCACGGCTTTTTCTGCACATTCACCTTTGTTCTTTACGCTACACTCACATGAACCTAGCGTATCGTGTAATCGCGATTGAGCGTGTTCTCCACCAGCTCTTTTCTAACTGATCAGTTCTAGTTCTTGGTCTATTCCTGCCTGAATTGTTACTGCACTTTATGGCAGACCGACTGTGCCTACACGAACGTGCCCGAACTCACGACAATGGGCTTTCTTCATTTTTATTTCTGTCCTATTTGTACAGTTTCAAATAGGAACGTATGAACAATCTCCGATTGTCACTTTTACAATTGCCACGACATGTCTGTATAATTGCACTTATTTGATCATGCATGCCTCGCACAGCCGAGAATAAATGTTCATTTATTTATTCATTTAATTATCCAGTTATTATTATTATTGTTATGATTATTATTCTTAATATTATTGCTATATACTCAAGCAAAATTGTAAACGCGGCAAGTACTGAAATAAAGTTACAGCTGGAAAATCAGTGTAGCATTTCTGCGAAAGTGTCTTAAAGTCGAATCACGTGCAACTGGCACCGCACTACTCAGTGCAACTAGACCAGCTATAGTTCGAGTTGGTGTAATCCTGAAGACGCAAGCAGGTTAGCTAAGCCACTCATATAGTGAATAAGGTAGCATTTTACGTTCGTGCTTTCGACGAATAAGTAATAAGGAAACTACAGTAACGAACACCGGGTTACCAGGATCGCACTAGCGCGCGTATAGGAAATATTTCCATCCCACAACGCACCACACATTACCCTTTTGTTCTTCGTCACATTCATGCCCCGATTGGGTTCTATCTGCTGAGTCTTTTTCGCCGATTTGTCCTGGCATCTTCGCTACCTCGCGTCATATTCCGACCGGACTGGATTCGTTCTAATGCGCTTGATTTTCTTAATCGGGGTTGGTTTCTATTCTTTGGGTTATTCCTGGAGGTGTGAACAATGTCCTACTTCCCCAGAGAAGCGGGCTCTCCATAATTACGCTCCCTTTTTTGTCGGCGTTTACCGATATATTTTGTCGTTAGTAAACCATTCTCGGCTTTTTCTGTAGGCCAAGAGCTGATTTTGCAGATTTCGTCCCCGGTGTCTGCGTAGTTTCCTTGGCTTTTTCGTCTCGCCTGTAATTCCTGTCTTCCGTAGCACTACAATATGGCGACCTTATGCTTTTAAATAGCTTTACCATCTATGGCATAACTACGAGGTAGTGGGAAGTAACTCCAGTTTGGGAGCACGACTACAGATTCCTTCTAAGAGCTACTCCATGCCTACCACACATACGCACGAAAAGTTCAGCAAATTGTTTACTATCGCTGACAACCGCGGATGAAGTTCTATAGATGTACAAGCTACTGTCCAGGAATCTGATAGTTATAGGAGGAAGATAGTTGCTTAGGCATACGAGGACTTGACGTCTTACCGCCTCGGCTAACCGGAAGGCGACTGATCTTTACTGATCCAACCGAACATCCATAACTCGTTAACTGCTGGCAGCATAGCATAGGCTTTGATCCAGAAAACTATGGTCTCCCTTGAACATATTATGCAGAAAATTCTGGGACGGTTCACCTGACCGTTCAGTAGCCACCTGTAGAGTATGAATGGTTTTGGAAAAACTGGAAATTGCGGTCTATCGTAGATCATTGAGTGGTGGAGGCAGGCCAAACATCAGAAATTTCAAGCTCCAATCTTTTTGCAATGGATCCTGAATCAGGAACAAGAAACTCATACGAATTTTCAGCCATGTTGCGGTTGTGCCAACCATATTCTTAATCTTCGAGATTACAGAGTATGGTCACAGGTACTGCAAACTATTAATACCTGTGATCCATGCTTCCAGGATTGTGTTCAAATAAGTTCCTTACCACTTATGTGCATTGTGCACGAACACCTCGAATGTTTTCGGGCTTACGGTGAGTTACCGAACAGCATTATAACTAATAAAGTCCGCAGGAACTGATATATTTTTATGTTCGTATTTCATTTTTTGGGGATCCATAATGGATAGTTCCATGGCAATTACCTGACGAAAGAGTTGCAGTTCTGCTCTGGTATCAAATGGTTCCGATTAACTCGAACTACCGGTAACCATGTTTGATTGTTCAGTTGTCGGATTGTTTGGCGAACTGAAAAACGTGATTACAATGGTTTTGTCACCAATCTAGGTGAGGCCGTCAGTGTGAAATAGAAATTGGTATGACCACAGTTATCTTCAGCTATTACTTGATCTTTATAAGGACTTCATTTTTTATAATATTGGTTCATTTTGTCTGGATATATATGGTCCTACAAGCTGTCACCAGGATGTGTGCCATTGATCCCACAAATATTGTTGTGACAATGGGGAGGTACTCGAAGTTCGCTTGAGTGGGAAACCATCTGAGCAGCGCTCGTGCCCACTACCTTGTTCGTCATCCGGGCACTGGATTGCTTTGATATGAAACCCGGCTTTTAATATGCTTAAATTGCTAATTTTCTAGTGGTTTGTACATGGGATCAGTGTCCTTGCGCACGATAATTGAAATATCTAACACTAGTCAGGCTTATTAGTAATTTTCCCTTTTATGCCTCAACTTAAGACAAGACCTCAATTTTCTTCCAACCGAAGCTGTGTCCTTCCTCATTCACTTGTGATGAGAATAGCAAGGATGTACAACGTATCCACATTCCTTTCTGCACTTCCCTATCCTCGTCGATCGCTTTCCTCTCACAATTTTTGCATCTTGTTTTGTATACGGCTATTCGTACTTTCTACCTTTCCCTTGTTTACTCTTGTCTCGACAATGTTTCAACCATAGCGGCAACTGACTGGTGAAAAATCTGATTTGAATTGTTTGAACAACATTATATATACCTATTATTCTCAGCACACATGGATGAAGAGGGATATAGCTTCCACAAGAGTAAAACTAGGCATGGAGTGACGCATGTGCTTTAGGCGTACAAATGTGCACCACACCTGGGAAATGTAATCTACGGAATGGCTGTAAGCGAATATGTAAGCTTCTCTTGCGTTTGATAAGAGCCACTTGAAGGGATCAGTCGGTCCTATTATTTGGATCGTCGTAATTCACTGACTAAATCATCGAGCACAGCAGTGCACAATGGCAAGGCCGGTGTGGCCTTCCAAAGCTTCAATCATCTCCAGAGACTTCGGAGTATTAATGTACTAGTCAAAGGTAGAACGAGTAACACCGTGGCACGCCTGTCAGCTCTGTACTTATCTGCGGGTGCTCAACTTTTCAGCTAACGCTGTTCTATGGCACTAGTGCACATATTTACTCTAGATCACGCCAAACTGAATCACAATACCACTCTGAGAGAGCACCAGCTAAAGTTAGCCACACAGTTTAGCCGAACGAATGCCATCGTAATTCTTTTCAGTCCGTATAGATCTACGTTGGAAGGTCCTCCCCACTTACTTTACTTTTCCCCCATGCTAACAGTATTCGAGAAGTGTCTTGATGATACACTCATACATTTACATTACGCCATATGACCATTTATGACCGAGCGTCATCGTAACACCACCACTCAATGTGCTCAGTTCCACTTCATCACCTAAACGCTGCTACTGAGGAATATTGTTGTGGTGTACTCAGACGGGATTTACGTAACAGATCGATCCAAGAAAGCGGAACATGAGTGGGCGTTTTCATTTTTATTTTTTACTTTCTCACAGAATATTTCAACTATCCATGCTCCCTGCATTGTGTTGTGTGCACATATTCAATGCCCATTTGACACTACTGTTATGCACATTTAAATTCCTAGATGATTAAACTGATGGTTCACATATCTTCTGACTTTACCTTTCACCCCAATATTCTAGGGAAGTTGTCTATCATCTACATTTTTATCTTGATAAATCATTGTTCATTGACTAACATCGAAAGCTGCAATTTGGGCTTTGGCAACGAGCTGCTCATAGGCACCCAACCGAACGGCTTGTTCGAACCAAACTAACTATGCTGCTTAGGTCTTAATGGCCACAGGTCATTTGACTGCGTACACAGGGGTGTATTTCCCACAAAGTTGTAAAATTGGTTAGGTAAAAAAGTGCATGAATATAACCATCAAGAGATTGAGGAGGGGTTTTGTATGCCGTCTAACGGTGAAGTTATCGTGATTGGTTATGGATGGAGGCTGCGACCTTGAGCAGTAGGAAGCTTTTCGCCGCTTCTTAGTTATAGCACCTTATCCTCCCGTACTGCGATTACGCCACTTCTCCTCGACCATTTACTAAATCACTGTTAATTTCGTATATTCATCTGGCACAGGAATAGTCCCTAACTTGACAAGGGAGACTGAATTGCAATCACCTGCATCCGCCAAACTTTTGCGCACGGGGCAGATTTATCCGAGTAACTTAAACTGATTCGTTTGATCACCACTCCACATGCTCCGGAATTCAATACGGGGACTACGCAGAATGTCAGATTTTTCTCATCTCAATGTATATTGAAAAGAATGCGGGCAATTCCACAAAGATAAAAATTTTCAATCCTTCGCAGGTTAAACCGCCTTGAAGCCGGAATGATTGGTGGGGAACAAGCCAGTAACCCTGAAATCCGGGCACGGCAATGGAGACGGAGAAAGTACGCAGAGGACCGTAGACGCCGTCTAGAAGAAGCAAACACTGCTCTAGAAGATGACGGAATAATAGTCGGTATTTATGAAACCATTCAGGATGAACTTTTCCACAAGGACAAGCTGTTGCAGCGTGAAAAGCAAAAGGCAGGTATTATGCCCAAACTTGTGCCTGAACAGCAAAGTTGGGTGGCACGCAAATCGGTCTGGTACATCGTCTATTTCTTCAGTTGCAGCATCTGCACATACCGATTTTCGGTTGTGAAAAAGTTCCTCTCATAAGGTTACTATATGGACGATGTAAGATACATTGCTTACCTGATTATTGGTTTGCAGCATATGAGAAATGTACGCGGTTTTATGTCAGGCTGTAGTGCACCTCCACTATATCCGGGAAACCTCGACCTAGACTCACTGCGCTCCTACTCTCACTCCACCCGAAAATGGCTTTGCGATAAGAAAATGCTGGACATTAGACTCATGGCTAACTTATGTCCGAAATGCAATGTTCAATCTTAGGCGTGAGGTAGCGTAATCAAAGTAACTTTCAACTCAGCCATTTGGTCTATTAATGAGAAAGGGACTACTTTGGTTTGTCACCCACAAAGAATTGTGGTACATTATTGGTTCGCGCATCACTTGCACACTTCAGATCATCGGTCTCATGGTTCTGTGACCATGAGATAACGCGACCTAACGGGAGAATATATATATATATATGCATATAATTTAAGTACTACACCTCGTCAATGGGAAACAGTCCCTTAACTCATGAACAGGATTGTAGTGGAACCATCCGCGGAATATCGCTTACTGCAGGTGTCCTTCTGCCAGTCTAGACACAAAGCAAAAGATGTTGATATCGCCAGCAGCTTAATAACTTGCAGCGACTCTGTCATATAACATCGTGTTTGGCAAGATTTCAGCTAGAATCTCAAATGTCATAGTAAAGAGAGTCCGCTACGACAAGCGTTTCCCAATATGCGTTCCTTGTGTTCGCAGTGGGTACTTACTTACAACCAGCAAGTATTTTATCAAATATTCTAAGTTCCTGTTAAGTAACGAAAGGTTTTGAGTATCCCGATATGACTGCTCACTATACTGTCTCACCAGCAATTTGTTGTCATACTTGCTAGAATGCCTCACTCAAAATGGAGCTCAGCGATATTCAGTCCGAATTCGAACAGGATCGCAGTGATTATTTAGACACTATACGCCGGCAACAGCGACAGATAGATCTACTGAAAACGATCATCGATCGGATTCAGCCCTGTATACGAAGGGACAGCAATTACTACAATTTGGACAAAATAAAACGACTGGCGAAGTAAGATTATTTTCCGGTACTCCTATCTTCATCAAAGTAGTGTGTCTTACTGAGTTCATCTAAGACGGGAGACTAAAATTGTGATTTTCATTTCTGTGGTTTCTAGAACAGTCATCAGTTGTGTGTGTCGTATGATCAGAGTGAACAGAATGCATATATTTGGGGACGCTATGCTAACGATTTCAGCCACCAGATATCCGATGCGAGGAGGCGGTGAATATAGAGCAATTAAACGTTTAGGTTCTACATTTTGTGCGTAGGTTCCATTCTAGCATCAGACTGTGCTCACTGAGTTTGACGTACGCAGGTAAGTTGCTTGATTTCCTCCTTGTTAAACGTTCTTGATCATGTTTCGGCTTGATGAAACAAAAGAATGAAAAAGGACACAGTGGGTGACACATTAAACAATGGAACAATGTTGATTTACGGGTAAAAAGCGAATGTTTAACAAGTCCCGTAGGATGGAAAGTATTAGGAAAATAAACATTCATAATAAAATGAAAAGTGTCTTGGTGGATTCACCATAGATATGTGTAGAAAAGCCGATATTCGCGTGGTTGGAATACTGGAAACACACCGTTTGCTTGCGTTATGTAGCCCCTGACTAACACGTTATAAAATGAAATTCGGATGGGACAATGCTTCGTCAAGTCGTCTTTTACACGTCGTTAGGTTGGCGGCAGAGACGACAAAAGAGGGAAGGGAGTTCCATGGCTGACACACTCGAAGTGAGAAGAAATTACTACGGCATTCCGGCAAGCTATACTGTATTGTTAATTTCAAAGGATGAATTCTTACGTTAGTGTTGTGGCTCAGTTACAGCGGCGGGTGGCAAATGTGATTTGGGTTCCTCAGAATTTGGTAAACCATTATGAGGTCACCCCGCAAGCACTGATATCGGCTATTGTACATTCCTGCAGGCTTAATTTAGGCTGGTACGGCAGATAGAAGAGGCCACTAACGTACTTGATTGCCATCCTTTGCAGAGTCTCGATAGCAGCTAGATCCTGTTCCTACCATGAGTGGTGCGCCTGAATGGCGTATTGCACGTGCGGTCGCAAGTAGGCTTTAAGCATTTGTGGGAAGATTAAGGAAACAAGCCGAATACACGCTCTGCGGAGGACGCCAAAGTGTTGAGTACCGGTTCCCGACGCCTCTGCTTGTTTCGAGCAGAGATATTAGTTTATTTTTCAGTTACGAATATTCATAGGTACGTGACACTTCTCGCCAATAAAAAGGAGAATGTAGTTAACCGAAATAACGAATTCGCTGCCGACGCTAGGCTTAGTGCTCACCAACAAGGAGCTCATGGTTGATGGACTAGCTCTTGCGTGTAGCTCTTTGAGCCGAAGCAATCATGTGGCTTTAATCTTCCTTTGCATTGGATACGCCAAATAGCCCGATGCAGAGCACGAACGAATGCATTACGTAACGTAACACGACGCAATGTCCGTATTCTCTGAATCGGCTAGTCGAACATTCACGACTGAGTGAACACCAGAGGAATTTGAAGCGTTCCCAAAAATTGCAAAATGCCAGTAGCGATAGCATCGGCGCCGAGTCTTTCATCGCACCTCATACCAGATTACTTTCTGAGAACCAGAACTCGAAAATATATGACCATAAGTGACCAGATACGGCGTGCTTACTTTTTCAGCTTACGAAAATGAACAGCATACCTAGCTCAACGCAGCTACTGTGCGAGGTTAGTTCGAGAAAGGTTTGTGTACCAATAGGAGCTCGTGAAACAACTATTCAAACTCCAAGCTTCTTTGTGGACATGTCAATAGCCTTCGTAAAGTACCCCGCGAAACCCGGCCACCCACTACGGTCCTTAGGTATGTACATACGATGAGAGAGGCGGCTTATACTTAACGGCCTCACTACTCACCTAACTTCCAAGAAACAAAAGGCCTGAACGCATTTCTCTATTTCATCACTCCACCATCAGATTTAATCTGCAGCACGTTAATAGAAAAAGTTACTATTCTTGTGCAGACACAGCCCTCATGGAACGGATAACATTCACCCGAAAGCACTGGAAGTAGAAATCATACACCTAGCCTAATCACTTGCTAGATTCTTTCAGCGCTGTATAGACGAGCACATCGGTCAAACTTTGATGACCAAAGTGGAAATGAAGTCTTACTGCTCCTATTCACAAGAGAGAAACTCAATACGAACACTCTCACTACCAGTCGATAACGCTTATCCTGTGTTCGTCAATATAATAGAAGGGATCATGACAAATCCATTGATGAGCTATGTGGAAAACATCCAGCGCCATCATGCCGGAGCAGCTAGGTTTTCGTCAACATCGATCATATATATATATATATATATATATATATATATATATATTGCCGTTAGAATATATTGTACATTTATTAATAAGCATTAAACCAGACAACTGTGCGATCAAAAGCATTTCAGTAATGAGAGGAGAAAATTTAGTTCGACAAGAGAACACCGTACGTTTCTTGAAATCTCACACACGCCGTTTTCAATTACTTTAATCGCACATTACATGAAAAAAGAAGTGGAAGTACATTATTGACCATAGTGCTTTCCATTACAAGCTATAGCGTCCAAAGACTTCTAATCATTGGGAGTCTACACTCTTTGGACTGTTTCAAATGAAAAACAATTCCCGGAGACGACATCAGAAACAGAAAGTAGAGAACACGCTTATTTGCAGGGCTTCATCATCAGGCGAATACAACCACAATAAAGCAAACTAGAATAGACACAATGGGTTTAAATTCGGTCACTGAGGCAGAGTAACTAATTGAGAAGTCTACGTGATTGGTCTGGTTGAGGCAAAGTCAGGTGAAGTGGTGTGACTTCCATTGGTAGTCGCGTTGGTCTGAGGCCAAGGCAGGGTTAAAGTATGGGCGAGTTTTTCTGTGAACATAGGTCCGGGTTATGGAGCCGAATTGTGATCGCCTCTGCTACTGAATAAAAATGACAAAACACAGGCAATCCACAGATTCATAACGAAACTGCTGCGTTGTTTAAAACAGGAGAATATAATCGACTCAGATATATTTGAATACACCAGACCGATTGGGGCAGTGATTCCAAGATTGTATTGCCTGTCCAAAGTACACAAGGAAGGGCTACCAGTAAGACCGATACTAAATATGTGTAACTCTCCGTACCATTCAACCGCCAAGTAGCTCGTCAAACGGCTGGAACCAGTCAGGAAAGCCATAGCTATATACAGTCTCAAGGATACCTTTGATTTTCTTGACTCAGTGAGACATCTTGAGCTAGCTGGGCGACAGATGTTTTCCTTAGATGTGGTGTCTCTTTTTACCAATGTTCCATCGGAAGAAACCATAGACTATCTGTGCGGGTTCATCCAAAAGCGCAACATCGAGGTTGGTATCCCACCAGACAGGCTGAGACAACTGCAACTCATGTGTACGAGAAACATTCAGTTTCAGTTTAAATAGAACGCTATATCAACAATGCTATATCGGCAATGATTTCACCATTAGGACCGTTGCTCGCTGACATCTTTATGAGCAAATTAGAATGGGATCAGGTGAACGAATCCATCAACAACTTGGGTTATTACGGCCGATATGTAGACGACATATTTTGTATTGCGAATAATGAAATATGCGTTGATGATCTATTGACCCAGTTTAACACTGCACATAGTAACATAACTTCCACTATCGAGCTAGAACGTAACGAATCGTTGGCATTTTTGGATGTCCAAATCAAAAGGGCATCAGACGGGTCAATGCGGAGGAGGGTACACAGAAAAGAAACCTGAAATGGACAGTACATCCATTTCGCTAGTTTTGTTCCGATAGGTGAAAAATGGAACCTCGTCCGTTGCCTAACGGAAAGAGCGAGGAGAATATGTACAGATGATGCGCTTTCAGATGAGCCGAGCTTTATACGAAGCGTACTCGAGCGTAATGAGTACCTTGAAAAATTCATCCAGAGGCACATGAAATCGCGAGTATAAAAGCCCAAACCCGCTTCCGAGGAGAAGCGGTGATTCCATAGCAGAACGGACTACCCGAATACTTTTCTTAGCAACAGAAAACATATTTTGCCGCTAATCGCGTAAGCTTCACCATAACACCGATTGTGCGCCAACAACTTAAAGACAGGATACCTCGGTCGCAGACCTCTTTTTGTGTGTACAATTTCTCTTGCTCATGTCGAGTAAGGGATATTGGAAAAAGGACCAGACGACGGTCCGTTAGGGCTCGAGAGCATTGCCCACCTTGGCTCTAGAGTAGAGCGATGAAGAATGTAAGCAGTGCAGTATTGTCGCACCTAATAGACTCCAGTCATCAAATCAATTCGCATGACGAATTCACATCGATCTACTGTGTCCCAGGACGTTACACACAGGCAGTCAGATGTCACCTGCTGTCGGCAGCAGAGGCGATCACAATTCGGCTCCATAACCCGGACCTATGTTCACAGAAAAACTCGCCCATACTTTAACCCTGCCTTGGCCTCAGACCAACGCGACTACCAATGGAAGTCACACCACTTCACCTGACTTTGCCTCAACCAGACCAATCACGTAGACTTCTCAATTAGTTACTCTGCCTCAGTGACCGAATTTAAACCCATTGTGTCTATTCTAGTTTGCTTTATTGTGGTTGTATTCGCCTGATGATGAAGCCCTGAAAACAAGCTTGTTCGATACGTTCTGTTTCTGAAGTCAACACTCAGTCGTCCCTATTTGGGAGACGGACAGATCCAGCTGGCACTAGGCATAAGGTGAGATTCTTCATTTTCTTTCACTTCATTGGTGGCGTGCGATCTGAAAATGAGTAGCCCTCCAGAAAACTACGTATAGTATAGTAGGACCTGGACTACAAAAGTTCGTCTCCCGATCAACCCAACCAGTTCTGTATTCTGAAGCTTTAGAAAAGCGTCCATGGTCACAAATAAATTCAAGCTCACAACTTCCGTCGACGAATTACGCGTACACGTAAGCTGAAACGTGAATTTCGTGGGTA